GTCCCCCGAAGAAAGTCTACCGCCCCCCCCCCCCCCCCCAAAAAAAAAATTTCAAGTGTCCCCCCCCGGAGGAAAAAGTCTGGAAGAAACACTGGTTTTAAGAGGTGTCCCAGGAATAGTACAAAACACTCATAAAAGTTCTTCTATCAGCTTTGTGACTGTGGTACAGTTTGTTTTGTTAGCATCTTGTGACTGTGTTACAGTTTGTTTTGTTAGCATCTTGTGACTGTGTTACAGTTTGTTTTGTTAGCATCTTGTGACTGTGTTACAGTTTGTTTTGTTAGCATCTTGTAACTGTGGTACAGTTTGTTTTGTTAGCATCGTGTGATAGTGGTACAGTTTGTTTTGTTAGCATCTTGTGACTGTGGTACAGTTTGTTTTGTTAGCATCTTGTGACTGTGGTACAGTTTGTTTTGTTAGCATCTTGTAACTGTGGTACAGTTTGTTTTGTTAGCATCTTGTAACTGTGGTACAGTTTGTTTTGTTAGCATCTTGTGACTGTGGTACAGTTTGTTTTGTTAGCATCTTGTAACTGTGGTACAGTTTGTTTTGTTAGCATCTTGTAACTGTGGTACAGTTTGTTAGCATCGTGTGATTGTGGTACAGTTTGTTTTGTTAGCATCTTGTGACTGTGGTACAGTTTGTTTTGTTAGCATCTTGTGACTGTGGTACAGTTTGTTTTGTTAGCATCTTGTGACTGTGGTACAGTTTGTTTTGTTAGCATCTTGTAACTGTGGTACAGTTTGTTTTGTTAGCATCTTGTAACTGTGGTACAGTTTGTTAGCATCGTGTGATTGTGGTACAGTTTGTTTTGTTAGCATCTTGTGACTGTGGTACAGTTTGTTTTGTTAGCATCTTGTGACTGTGGTACAGTTTGTTTTGTTAGCATCTTGTGACTGTGGTACAGTTTGTTTTGTTAGCATCTTGTGACTGTGTTACAGTTTGTTAGCATCGTGTGACTGTGGTACAGTTTATTAGCATCTTGTGACTGTGGTACAGTTTGTTTTGTTAGCATCTTGTGACTGTGGTACAGTTTGTTTTGTTAGCATCTTGTGACTGTGGTACAGTTTATTAGCATCCTGTGACTGTGGTACAGTTTGTTTTGTTAGCATCTTGTAACTGTGGTACAGTTTGTTAGCATCGTGTGACTGTGGTACAGTTTCTTTTGTTAACATCGTGTGACTGTGGTACAGTTTGTTTTGTTAGCATCCTGTGACTGTGGTACAGTTTGTTTTGTTAGCATATTGTAACTATAGTACAGTTTGTTGGCATCTTGTAACTGTGGTACAGTTTGTTTTGTTAGCTTCTTGTGACTGTGTTACAGTTTGTTTTGTTAGCTTCTTGTGACTGTGGTACAGTTTGTTTTGTTAGCATCTCGTGACTGTGTTACAGTTTGTTTTGTTAGCATCTTGTGACTGTGGTACAGTTTGTTTTGTTAGCATCTTGTGACTGTGGTACAGTTTGTTTTGTTAGCATCTTGTGACTGTGGTACAGTTTGTTTTGTTAGCATCTTGTGACTGTGGTACAGTTTATTAGCATCTTGTGACTGTGGTACAGTTTGTTTTGTTAGCATCTTGTGACTGTGGTACAGTTTGTTTTGTTAGCATCTTGTGACTGTGGTACAGTTTATTAGCATCTTGTGACTGTGGTACAGTTTGTTTTGTTAGCATCTTGTAACTGTGGTACAGTTTGTTAGCATCTTGTGACTGTGATACAGTTTATTAGCATCTTGTGACTGTGGTACAGTTTGTTTTGTTAGCATCTTGTAACTGTGGTACAGTTTGTTTTGTTAGCATCTTGTGACTGTGGTACAGTTTATTAGCATCTTGTGACTGTGGTACAGTTTGTTTTGTTAGCATCTTGTAACTGTGGTACATTTTGTTAGCATCTTGTGACTGTGATAAAGTTTATTAGCATCTTGTGACTGTGGTACAGTTTGTTTTGTTAGCATCTTGTGACTGTGGTACAGTTTGTTTTGTTAGCATCTTGTGACTGTGGTACAGTTTATTAGCATCTTGTGACTGTGGTACAGTTTGTTTTGTTAGCATCTTGTAACTGTGGTACATTTTGTTAGCATCTTGTGACTGTGATAAAGTTTATTAGCATCTTGTGACTGTGGTACAGTTTGTTTTGTTAGCATCTTGTGACTGTGGTACAGTTTGTTTTGTTAGCATCTTGTGACTGTGTTACAGTTTGTTTTGTTAGCATCTTGTGACTGTGTTACAGTTTGTTTTGTTAGCATCTTGTGACTGTGGTACAGTTTGTTTTGTTAGCATCTTGTGACTGTGGTACAGTTTGTTTTGTTAGCATCGTGTGACTGTGGCACAATTTGGTTAATGATTTGTAAAAAAAGACGCAAAAACATATAGGCTAACATGTATTCTGTAAAATTCAAAATGAACACCTAATCTTCGAGGAAATAACGACTCAGTTGGCTTAAAGCGTATATTTCTCTGCTCTAAGAATATTTTGTATATCCATTGATAAAACAGAAGCGAGGGAGACTGGTTCTAAAAAAATCAATATCCAAGGCGCGTGTAGTGTGTTCTATCGATCTCACTTCTCTCTCCCACGCTCCCAAATGTTACGACTTGGTGTGCTTGGTGTGAGTTACATCTCCTACTTTTTGATAAGAGTTAAAAACACCAAATCCAGGTATGTTCAAAAACAAGTTTGCTAGTAGAAAAATACATATAAGTAATTTTCAGATTTTTTTAAATCTTGGAGAAGACAAAAATATATGAATATAACTGAGAGTTCAAAAGAACAATGTATCGTGCTGCCTGGCATCAACCTTAGTTCTAAAATATCTTACTATGGTCAGGAGCTGAATAACTCTCAAAACAGCAAGGAACCATCGCCTGTCATGCTCTATTGGGGTACCCATTTCATTAACATAAATTAACATATGGGAGATAATGGCGCACACATTTCTATAGAATATTAGAAAATATGATTGTGTGCGTGATAGACTACACGTGTCCTGTATCGCCACAAAGCGGGTGGGATGGGTGTGCGCACGGTAACGAGTCACTCGAGAGAGTAGCGAAAAATTATTAAAATTCTAAAAAAAAACACTCTTTACAGTACAAATACTAAGCTTTTGGTACACTAAGGGGTCATCCACTTAGGGGTCATCCATAAATGACGTCACACTATTTTGTGACGACTTTTTACAACACCCCTCCCCTACGTCACAAAAATCCAGACCCCCTACCTTTAAAATGAAGTCAAACCTGAGCCCACCCCCCCCCCCTTCAAAATTGCAGTTGAATTTTTCTTAAAACATCAATGTTTTTCTCTAAAATATTGACTGAGCTCGGTCAGCATAAAGTATTTAAATCAATTTAAAACAGTTTTCTAGAACGCAAAAAAGGCTAAAATTCGTTATCTAAATTCGTTAGCGGTCGACCCCATGATATTACAATTGGACGTGGGTTCATGCGAAAGCATGATAGAAACAACATCTCAATATCAAAACAAAGAGCGAATTCTAGATGATTGTTCGATTTATACAATGGGAAAAAAACACTCTTTCATATTTCAATTTTTAAAAAAATCAGTTTTTACATTTTTAAATGAAGATAAATTAAAAAAAAAAACAACCACTAATTTTGCTTTAGTTTCTACAATGATGAAAAGCTCAATTTCGTAACTACTTAGTAATGTATTGTAAATTCAAGTGATTGGCATTGTTTAACGATTGCCCTCAAAAAATTAATAAACCTCGAGTCGACTTTCAGCCCCGAGTATGAAGCTCGCGGTTTTAAGGTTTGACGACCGATGATGCTAAACGGATATTAACCTTGTAGAATCTTCAATCAAGTCGTAAATAACATTTTAAAAATTTCAACTGCATTTTAATAAATGAGTTTTATATAAGGTTAGTTTAATTTGATTAGTGCAAGATATTAATGTAAATTTGAACGATACGAGACCACTTGAAGTAGGCTTATAGGCCCTACGTTGTTGTTAAGACGGTCAGCCATTTAATTTAGGAGATTCTATGGATTAAAAAAAATGATACACTCAGGGGCCGACTAAGCTTGAGCGGGGCCCCGGCGAAAACTTACACGAACACTACTTGGTGTTATAAATTCAAGTCATTAAAATTTTGCTTGCATATCAAAGTAAATTTTAGTTCGCTTCACATCTCGTATATCAAAAGTCTCGTATGTCGAGGTAGGCCTACTGCTGTATTTATTAAGAGAGAAAGAAGATTAAACAGTTATAAAACATTGATGGAACACAAAATACTTCAAAATTATTATAAATGTTTTAGCTTTTATTGATTGGTTTAAAATTAAAGACACTCAGTTTTAAAGACGTAGGTTATTTATAATTTATTTTTAAATTTGGGTTTTGCTCTTTACTCGATTCTGATTTACCCAATGAAGAATGGTCTGTGCCAGTTAACTGTTTTAATGTAAGTTTACTAGTCTAGAATTAGAATCTAAACCAATGTTTAGATGCTGGCTCAGATGCTGGCAAAGTTTTATGTAGGTATACTATACACTACTTTTAACAATAAGATATATTTAGGGTACATTTAGGCTTACTTGAATATGTTTCCAGTCATATGATAAATAGACTATAACAATATTTAAATATATTTTGTTAATAAGTAGCTCAATTGTTTATTCCACAGCTGGTGAAATATATGATAGTATTGATAGCCTATATAGAGATTTTAACACAGAAGGGAAAGAAAGACGGCCCCAAAGTTCCCAAAACTTATTTTTTAGCTTTGTTGCTCCACTATATCAGGCTTGAGGGATAAGACATGCAAAGGAATTACAGTTCAAGAAAATACTCCCCCCCCCCCCACACACACAGCAGTTCCGATAGGTTTGTATGGAAAGTAAAATGTCTTGCATCAAACAAAGCATCCATATATTTCAAAAGAAAAACTCACACATTATCTACTTATTTCTGAGTAATATGCCTAAATGAGATTGATTTTAGTTTGTCTTTTGTAAATGAATCTTAAATCTAAATTGTATCAAAGTCACCCTTTAAAGTAAGCAAATACGTTAGATAAAGATTAATTTACTATTTATAACTATGTTGTAGAGATCATAAAACCGCTATAATTGCTGGTGTGAAACCAATAAATTAAAATAAGAATAAATTATTCTTCAGCAGATTTCTTTTGACTGAATATTCTTAAGGTTGTAATGTTTTATGCTACTTAATTATCTTCCATCTTATGTACTGGTTATTAATGTTTTACAAGTTAATTGTTGTCACTTCTACCCTTTTAGTGTGAATATTTTCAATCAATTCATGCTAAGTTGTCAACACATTTTGTTGGCTTGTATTCATTGTGCTACTGATTTTTACTTTCTTATACAAAGAGTATGGAGGAAGTATTGTAACCGTGCACAAAAGCGTATATGAGATTTTGACAAAATTTATCTCGACTTATTACACCTCCCTGAGAAGAAAAAACTTTTTTCAATTGTGTCCGTATGTCAGTGTGTTTGTGAACAGGGTATCATGATTACTGTTTCCGTTATGTTGATGAAATTTCATATACAATTTAAGTACTTTATAAAATGTGTAGCTCTGTATCTAACGTTTGAGATATTTCGGGTTACTGGAGTTGGTACTTGTTTTACTTCAAGTTTTTTATAAAGCCAATAACTTAAATACCTTTTAAGTTAGGTGGACAGTTTTTTTTTACATATAAGTATTACATTGTATGCGCAGGTTTATGTTAACTTTTGGACTATTTTCGGGAACAGGAAGAGGTATTTTACTATATATTCGTGGGAAACTGTAATTTGAGTACTGTTTCATTTAGGAAGACGAAATGTCTTATAGGCCTGAGTATAAGATCTTATACTTTGATATTACTTCCGATTTTTTTAATGGCCTCCAATAAGAGGAAGCGGTCATTTACTGCATTTCTGGTTTCTGAAATACCGATAATTTGAGTAGAGTTTCAGTTAGGTAGGCAGAATTTTATACACAGGTATTAAATCTTATTCTCTTGATACTATCATATTTTAAGTGATTTCGGTTGAGTGAAAGTAGAACTTAAGCCGATTTCTCAATAAAGACAATCAATGTTTCCTTAATAACGATTCTCCGCTCTATTATACAACATGTATTTGCCTTCACCTGGTGAGTAATTCTGCGTGATTCTATGGTATTTTAAACAGTTAAGTATTAAAAAACAATAAAAGTATTTATATTACATGATTGTTTTAAAAGAATATAAAAGAAAGTTTAGGGGAAATCCTTCACGCTTTAATTTGGCTAGAATTGGACAAGTTTAACAAGATGGTTTTAATTTATTACTATAGACAGTTATAGGCAATTTTCTTTCCTAAATCATGCATTTTTAACAATAATTTTCTAAAATAATGTAAGCCTGTCTTTACACATGTAAATATTTCTTGGTACCATAAAAACAGAGCTTGTTGTTAAATGTATCTTCATTGTGGCATTTGAAATGTTAAAAACAAATTGGTTTTTTTTTTTACGAATTTTGACATTTTTCTCTTTTTTTGCTCTTCATAAAATTGGTGCTATAGACCTCAGAATCAAAAGTTCTATCAGGAGAAGCTCACTACAAATGTCAACAATCAATACTTATTTTAAGTTTGGACTACCTATTTATAGAGTATTAAATGAGATAGGAGTGATAGAGAGTAAAGCAATGTTATACATAACGAAATGTATTTTCTGTTCCCATTTGGCTGAATGTCTGCCATTAGAAAGTTTGGATAGACAGCTTAACCCATTGAAAACACTAGATAAGCCTCTAAAATTGTTTGTAAGTAGAATTAACTCACAGACAGTAGGCCCATATAATCAACTCAGACAAATATGTAGCTGATTCATGTTTTTATACTTTGAATACTTTTAGGACTATACACATTTCAAGATGCGCCTTCAGTAATTAGAGTTCGTAATTTGCCAGTTTGGTGTTACCATTCTCCCACTCACATACAAGCCAATTTCTTTAAAGGGAATTGCTGTTGCGTTTTGTCTTAAATCAGCTTTTATCAGGATGTTAAACCTACTCAAATAGGCTCTGCTATATCTGTGAAACGAACAGTTTGTCCCTTGGTGCCACCCTCTTCCCCCCTTTAGAATCTCTGTTGAATGATGCATTTTCTATAGCAATTTATTAATACACATTGATAACTAACAATTTTTTTCTTTGAAAATAAAGAATGTTTCATCTTGGTGTCACCCCACCCCCTAAACGGTGTCACACGGTGAGGTCCGCACCTCCCCCCTCCTTGTGTCTCCTCCCAAATCCTTGTACTTGTCTGTCTTCTGAAAGCAAAAATGCAAAAGCCTATTGATGGTACAGAAAACAAATTGTGTGTATAAAATTAATAAAAGGTTCCCATAGTTAAATTTACAAGGAGAAAAAAAAATTAGATAATCGGAAATGCGGGTGGGGGTGGGTGGGGGGTGACCTACAATTTAAAAACTAGGTCTAATACTAGTTTAAACACAGATGCATACTTTTAATTATGACTATTTATATATATATATATATATATATATATATATATATATATATATATATATATATATATATATATATATATATATATATATATATAGAGAGAGAGAGAGAGAGAGAGAGAGAGAGAGAGAGATAATATTAATAATATAATAATATATGCCAAAATATGTCTTAATAATTATGATTAAACAAAAATATTTCAAATCGTGCAGACCTATAAACCTATTCTATAGAGTATGCAATAACTATTTATTTTAAAAGCATATAGCCTTTTGATAAGGAGCATGCTATTTTTAGACTTTACAATGTAGATTCTATGATGTTACGTTGGCGGATAACGTGTCTATTTCTTTCTTTTTTTTATGTCAATGTCATGATTATCCTGTGCAAGGACTGTTTTTGTAGTTTGGTTCAGTAGACGTGTATTAGCTGATGAGAACTTTATTTATGTAAAGCAAAATTCGCTGATATAGCTAATAATTTTAATATGTTGCCCACGACTTATTTCTCTCTGTCTCCGTCTGAGATTTATCCTGGTAAATTATGGACTAGAATTCATACATTTTTGTCCTGGGGAAACGTAATTGTCTATACATGTGCTTCAGTGCAAAAGAGGAATAGATTCTACGTTGTGCTGTCTGAACATGCAGGGTTAAGGCTTAAAATGCCGTCAACATGTCTTCCAGTTCTACAGCTAATCGATATCGTGATGGCATTGCTAACTTTTGCCGCTATCGATTCGTGTTTAGAGCCACGTTTTTCGTCTGCTCACCCTCCTCTCCTTTGTGCTGTGCAGACGTGTTGTAACGACACGCGTGGAGGGTGAGGAATGCTTCGGTAAGATTCTCGTTAATTTATGGAGTCGGTGGGCTTATTTTGCACACTGAAAATCTGTATTGTTTTGAGATGACAGTAATATATTGAAGCTGTCGATGTAGCTGCTAGTGATGTGTTTTATCTGTTTCGTTCATTTGACCTAAATGGATATTCTGATTGTGTTTGGCTAAAAGTTTTTTTAAAAAAGCATGAATGTTGCTTCATGGTGTTCATTAATAAACAAATGTCGACCCCAGCTAACACAATTTATTAACCCAATGTCGTTCCAAGGTTGGCCCAATATCGCTATCTTGGCGATAAATTGGCCAAGGTCCCGCCATGCTTATGCCAGGATACGGCCAAGATTTGTACGTGCTTGCGTCCCTTTGTTTTGAATAGCTTCCCTTGATACCTTGGTATTTAACCGTTTTTACCCTGGCTTGCCAAGATTACAATGATTTATGTATTTACTGCAGCAATTTTATTTAAATAAGTTTGTTAAACTTAATATATGTTCCATGAAATACGTTTAAAAATCAAATATAATACTTCAGTTTAAAATTAGATTTAACTACAATCTATGTTGCGTGTTTTAAACATTTTGTTTAATATTTTTAAAATTGTGTGCGTGGCTACCCGTCCAGCGTCACGCTGGTCCATCGCATCTCGGCCTAAATTCTATGTCCACATTCCTTTCTATTGTTATCAAGCCAGCATCCCGCCGGTCTTTGCTTGCCATTCTTCGCTCGCCATTTCCCTCAACAACAGAGCCTTTGTTGTATCAAGCCAGCGGCACTAAGACCTCGTCTTTATCATCGCTTAATCTACCGACGTTTGGATTCTGTTAATAATCCTTTCAAGGACTTAAAACCACTTAATCAACAGGTAACATCGTCAATTTTTATTGATAACAGATTATCCGACAACAGGTGAGCTTGTCGCATCAACAGGTATTGCACCAATTATTGACTTATTTTTCAACAGTGAGGAGAATAATGTACATAAATTCATATTGCGGTGTAGAAAACACTTTCTGTCATTAAATAAGAGGAAGTCTATTTACATAGTTAGGCATTACAGTAACAGGCTAGGTGATTGTTTTAAATAATAAATATGTTTTCAACGAAAGAACCATCTAAATGTTCTATTTGGAGAGCTACCCGAAAAAGGGTTAGAATCTAGTAATGATTTAGCTGACTGTATAAGGGCAGTACATGACGTTTCTGTCAGAGGCAGGCACAGGAATTATGATTATGAGTATGATAGGCCTATTTATAAAAGTAGTAATCAGAAGCCTATTCTCAATGAGTTTGACAGTGTAAATTATTCATCAACACCAGTCACAGTAACTGGTCACCAAGCATGTTATTCAGAAGTTAGAAACGAAGCTCACCATCAACAGACTGGCGCTGAGCAACACATGTATGATAATACTAGCAATTATGATTATACAGATTTAAATGATATTCTGTCGGATGTAGATTGTGAGACAGATGCAGACTCATCGCCAGAAGACAACTATGAAAATAATTTACAAGAG